CTTGGTTGCTCCTAAAGTTTTGACTTCCCACCCCTGCTTTGACTCCAGCACAAGCATTTACATCCCAAGCTGAAGCTGAGGATAAACCCTATCAGATCAGACCTCAATGAATAAACTCAAAGGCCTCGTGGAGGGTGATGCAGGTGTGCTGAGGTTTGGGATTGCATTTGAATTTTCCAGCGTGCTGCCATGGCTGAGCTTTAGGACAGAGCTTGTTTGGGAGTTAATCCCACCCTGAATTCCTTTCTGTCATGCTGACAGCTTCCAAAAATTCCCAGCCTTCAGTGGGATATTAACATTACAGGGTGAATATCGTGGTGTTGCCGTGAAGGTTTTTTGCCTTCTTTCCAGGTGTCTGTTAAGCGCTGCTGAATGTGCAGGATAGTACATGTGGAAATAGTAATTGCAACCCCATTACTATTATTATTATTATTATTATTATTGCCATAATTTACCATTAGTGTGTTTTTTATTTTATGGGGCCCACGTGTGCAGGTAATTCACGGCGGAGCACTTACGCCATCGCAAGGTGGGAAGGCTCAGGGAGCTGCAAGAGCCTTGGATCCAGCTAAATGCCTTTTTCCAGCTTAAATCCTCCTCCCTGGGCTCGAGGCAAAGGGTTTTGGCACAGCTTGAGGCAGCCCTGCGGTGCTGAAGAGCGTTTTGGGGTGACTCAAAGCATTTTGGGGTGATTCAGTTGTTTTCAGCGAGGGCCAGGTGCTCCAGATCCTCTGTGTGCACCTGATCCTCCTCTCCCCTCTGCTCTGGAGGGCTGGGAGTGAGTCAAACTCTTCAGCACGGTTCTGAGCCTGAGATAAGGCAGATGTGAGGCAGATAAATGTGTTTCAAAGAGGTCACTGGCTAAATAGGAGCTTCACAACAAATGGGGTTGTCTTCCATCTCCTACTGATGTGGTTCCTGCCTGATGGCTGGTGCAGGGCTTGGATAGGACAGATCCAGCGCTGGGTTTGGGAGAGGATTGGAGGCTCTGCATTGGTGGCTGAGCCACGAGGACGATGGAGCTCTGCGTGTGTCACACCAGGAGCTCATCCCAAGGAGGACTCCGGGCTCTGACACATGGGGAAGATGTTGAGATTCTGCCCAAACTGGGATTACCCATGGAGGGCTCCAGCCCAACCAGTGGGATCCAACCAGCAGCCCACAGAACCCAACGCTGGTCAATCTGAAGGGAACAGCAGCAAGCAGAGCTGCTCAGGAGAATCTTCCCAATTTCCCAGTTTTTCCACTGCTCTCCAAGATGTCTGCAGGATGTTTTCAGAGCCGAGCGTTTGCCAGAAGTTCACAGATCAGTTACAAAACAGATGTACCTTTTTTTCTTTTCATTTTTTTTTTCCTCTCCCCTTCTTCCTACTGGTAAGGAAGAGTTTGTGCAGTAATTGCAGGCAGGTTGGGAGATGTTTTCTTCATAATTCTCCTTCTTATGAAATGTTTATGAAACACCTTCCACAAATCAGTTACGCAAGCAGGCTCCGGAGCTTTGATCATTTTCCATCACCCTCAATGTGTTTCTTAGTTTGTTTTGCTTTTTGTTTTCGTGTTTAGGCCAGAGATAGGTAAGAAACCATCCATCCTTGCAGCTGTTCAAGCCAGCCACGGAAGGGACTCTCTCTTTTCCAGCCAGTCACCCTTCTCGTGTTTTTTTTTGCTCGGGGGCTGACACTGTTTCAAGGCTGTGAAAACATCCAAACATCCACTTGAGATTTGCAAGTGTGATTCCTGCCCTGGCCCAGAGGAGCTCCCGTGCCTCCAGCTGCCGTTACCCGCTCCCAGCCCTGCCCTGGGGCTCCCCTCGGGCCCCAAGGGAGGAAGGTGCTGCAGATTCACAGCCAAGAGCCCCCACGCCTCACCTCAGCCGTGGGGATCTGCAGCTCCTGCTCTTTGCCCTGCTCTTTTTCTCCATGGAATGGTTTGGCTTGGAAGATCATCCCGTTGCAACCCCTTGCCATGGGCAATGAAGCTTCCACCAGACCAGGTTGCTTTCCTTAAATACTGTTATTTTTCTGAGTAGAATTCAGTGGGAACAAAGTCTCTCCATTGCTTCTCATTCCCTTTTCCTCATCCTATAAAACCCAGTGGGAACAAAGTCTCTCCATT